TTATAAATTTACGAGTAATAGTCGGCCAAATGTATTTAACCTTTGAAAACAACAAACCTGTTTTTTGCGTTTTTATATGGATAAACCATTATCTATACTTGCGTATACTATTATCTATAAAAGCTCAAAAAACAGGTTATTTCAACGTTAGTACGCTTTCCCGGTTTTTTTAATAATACATTTTAGTGGAGAATTATTAATCGAACGACAAAACAATATATGGATGATTATTATCGAGATACTTTAATACTTAACTGAGGGGCGTTAATTATGTTTGTGAAAATGTACTAAACTGTCCATAATTATGAATTAATTAATGATTAAAAAAAAATACTTGAAATGGGTTTCCTAATGGTAGAAAACAATTTTATCTAAAATAGCAACTGAGATTCAAAGTATTAGAGTTAAATAAAAATTAGGTGAAAAAGATAGTCAGTAGTCGAAATTACCTTGATCACGCACGAAAATCTATAAAAATGCTGAATTGAGAAAGGAAGAACAACCTGACCATCAAGTTTCTATGAGAATCAGGCAAAGAGTAAGGCTTCAATAAAAGGACTATTATTTCAAAAAAAAAATTGTTTGTATTTTTTGCAAGGCGTGTTGATTCTACTGCGAACTAAAATGGAAAGAAGAGCAACTGAACTATTCTATGAAGACATGTGCTTTATACACAGAAACACCGGTAGATTTTCCATAATTGGTTCCATCTATTGGGCAGCCCTATGCCCTAGCAGTGGGGCCTAAGCTAATGATGATGATATAAAGGTTACTGACAGATTTTAATTAAGATTGGCTTAAGATTCCAGTATAGCACAATACCCTCCTACTACACAGTACCCTCGGACCGTTGGCGAAGCCGCGGGTTATAGCTAGTAGAATATATAATCTGATTATCCACCATTAAATACAACATCATTTAATTAAAACTATTATATAGAGCTGACCCGACATACGTTGTACTGTCTTAATTATGAATATAGAATCCGAACAGTTTTTTTTTATTCTATATCACACGTCATAAGGTTACATTAAAAAAGTTTATATTATCCAACTACTAAGGTTAGATTAGATATTATTTTAAATTTTATGTCATACGTCATAAGGTTACATTAAAAAAGTTTATATTATTCTAGTACTAAGGTACGATGGTGGTTAAATATTCTTAAATTTTCAAATTTAAATGTTATACGCATATATTCTTTGTCGACGTTGAATTCGACACTCATTTTATGGCAGGATAGTATAGTTGAGCTCAATGGCCCAGTGGTTAGCGCGCCCGATTTGAGATACGGTTGTTAAGCATCTTTCGCAATGGCCATGGGATGGATTACCAAAAATATATTATCTAGAGCTCCTCCGTGCTTCCGAAGGCACGTTAAACCGTTGGTTTCGGCAGCAAATATAGCATTAATATCCATTTGTACTGGGCCCGTGTGGTGGGTCATCACAGAGGATCATGACTCATTCTCCCTATTCGATATTTTTCTCTATCCCATGTTTAGGAAAGGTCAGTGGTGGCATTAATAGGCTGGTGATAAGCATAGCTGATAAGTACATTAGAATGACTACGAAAATGGAAAATTTAGTTTCATCTAAAATTTTTGAAGAATTTACTTACCCTTTTACTGAGTAATTAATTCAATTAGAGTTACAGTTGAACAGACTTTATCATTTATTTATATGACAGCTACGTATCTGAATATGTAAATTAGTACAGTCGGCTCGTTTAGCGGAATTAGTAATTGTCAAGATGATATTTGAATAGTCGCTTTCGCCGCAAATTTTCTAATTTAGTGAAGGTAACATTTAACCATTATATTATAATCTTTTTAAATGATTTTAAACACATTGTATTTTGAACACTACGTTTTAGCGCTAAACTGCATACTCATGAATAGGTTTTTGATCAAGTTCGATGATACCGATGAAAAGGATTTTCTGCTTCCTTATGGGATTTCGATGAATTCTGGCCTTGACTGCATTAACGGCCTGGTTTCTTCGATTAGACCGAGGTCGGCCGGATCTCTCAATGTTCGTTAACAGACATGGTTTCAGTGTACCTTTACATGGTACGATACACAAACATTCGGCTAATCCCAAGCTCTTTCAATGTATCAAAAATGTCTGCTGGCTCTTTACCTATGTTGTTCAGTGTAATTACTCTTTAGTGCCCCTCTCTATTTTCAAAACAAATAATTTCTAAACAAAAAATATACATTAATGGCGGAAAAGAAGTCTATTTTATCGTAGAAGCTAATGTTTGAAATTCAAGTTAATGTTTTTTTATATGTATGTAAACAGCCAGTAACAGAATTTATGACAGAGTTATACTCATATTATAAAGAGGAAAAATTTTATTGCCTGTTTGTTTGCATTGGATCGGGTCCGAAATTATTGAACCGATTTATAAGTCTTATCTACAGAAAGCTACATAATACGCGTTGTACTTAGGCTATAATTTACGCCCACGAGGTCGCGGGTAAACAGCTACTTTAATAGAAATCGCTTCTGAATTCAAGAAAAACTCGATTGACATACCTACTTTTATAAAAAATATACATACTCCTTGAACATAGAAAATCCTAAATTCGGATTTAAAATGATTACAAAATACGGACTCATTTTAAATCTGAAATAATCTTTTGTTTCAGCTGAGATTCATGAAATACAATACATATCATCTGAAGATTTAGGTGATATATGGTGATAAGCGTATTTTATTTGGTTATAAAAGAAAAACTACTGATTCGATTTCGATAAAATTTAAATAGGAATACTTCGGTCCATTAAGCTGTCGAATAAGGAAAGAATTTTGAATAATAGCGAAATCATCTGTGAACATACATAAAATAGACGTACATTGCCGTTGAACATATAACTTCCTACTTTTGGATTTTGTGATCGGTTAAAAAATGGAAGTATCTCTTGCAAATCAATCATTGTACAATAAAATACGATCATTATTGCTGTAACTTATCATAAAGACAAAAGAAAAGGTTATTCTTTGGGAATAAATCAACGTTGAACAAAATCACAGGCGTTATTGCTATAACATGTCAAAATGGAATGAAATATAGGAGCTATTGAAGACTTCTTGGTGAATCTTTCAAGTACGAAATCTAATGTTGTGTGAAAACTAATAACTCAGCTAAATCTTTGCAAGATGTAAGATTGTAAGTCAATTTTAGAAGAATTTAGAATTTTATTAAACATTTCAAACAAGTGCTAGTTAGACTTAGGACTGCGTAAAAGCGGGGTGTGTTTGTAGACTTGTAGAGTCAATAGTTTAATTCTACTAATGTTATCGTTATTATGGAAAGTAAATAGCGCTTCAACTACGACCCTTTATGACACAGTTGTTGTTATTTATAAGATTACAAAATTATAAATATATCTGTCACTATTAATTTGTAAGAAAGACATTGCACTAATAATATTGGTATTCAAATAGATACTACTATAAGTATCTAGTTGAGATTCTATTGAGATGCAATTATTACGTAAAAATTTACAGAATTGAGTCCCCAGAATCGAATAAAATATATTTTGAAATATAGAAACACTTGAAATGATCACTTGAATTTGTACTAAAGAACTATGTTTCTTGTCTAAGTTTAATAATTTTAGTACGCCGGTATCAATTTTGATTTGTTATTATGATATACGGACGTATTTTAGAAGTTTTATTTTTTTCACAGCTTCACAAAACTGTTGACTTGAGTAACTACATACGGCCGCACGTCGCTCTACACACCATCACCGTAAAAAACCTCAGTTATTAGTAAAGTTCTATACGAAGCGCGGTCTGTACAAAATCTATAATGTATGTAACATATATGTGTCTTACGAGCAGCTGTGTGAACATGGTTTTAATTTCAACTCGATATATCCACGAACTAACAAAAATTATATTACTGATAGACAAACAGACAGGCGGACAACAAGGCGATCTTATAAGTGTTCCCTGTTTTTCCGTTAGAGGAACGTAATTATCATCTTGATAATTACGAGCAAATAAAAATGCTTATTTGTTTGGTCATAATTATCATCTTAACTCCTTGAAATCATAAAGCGCTGAAACGGAAGTTCTTAAAGTAGACAATAAAATTTACATAATTAGCTTAACAAAACATTTATTGATAATCGAAAAAAAAGTAATTTTATTATTGTTCTTATACATACACGACAATTCGAACTGTACAGATGCTAAATAATAAAACGTACAACTTAATTATTTTTATAAATGTAATAATTTTAATTCTAAAGACTAGTAATTAAATATTTGAGTAAAATTAAATTATTATTGCAATATTTTTGTTATAATAACAAACTTTTTCGTTTATTTTTTTACTTAAAGTTTAAAAATATGACGTAAAGAAATATATATTTTAGTATTCATTGGACATATATGTACGATGATATATTGATACTAAGTCAATGTATTGCCTATATTTTTTCGGGTTTATTCAATTTCCAAATAGGTCAATAATATGTATATGTCATGAACAAACAAATTGTACACAATAATAATACACTATAATAATATAATACACAATAATTATATACAATAATACACAATGCACTATGAAACTTTTAATTCGTGTTGTAAATTATGGGAACATCATAACTTCATTTGTGTACAAAAGCAATGAAATTATTTTTTACTTTTACGTTATATATTCTGAATTTTCACAAATAAAATGATTTCTCATAAACAATATAGTATGATATTTTAATAGCGACTTCGAGTCAGTAGTTTATTGAATAAAACATAAAAGAAGAAGTGCAAAATGAGATCTTGAATTTCACGACACAGCTTTCAAATGGACGGAATAAAATGACAAGAATATATATAAAAATATACGGAATGTTTTCTGTCATAATAATAAATATAGAATACATAATTCATAAGGCTACTTTGTTTCCTATAAAGTCGTGAAACTTGTACTCGAATAAAACGAGAACCGTCTTGTTAGGTCAGCAAAGTTCTCCAATGATTATAAGTCATGATACATGGTTACGTTTAAAAATTGATAGCACATATTTGACATTGTGTAATAACCTCATTTGCTGGTGTAGGTACACAAATTGTATTTTAGTCATGATTATTGTATGTTGCATGTCGTTTATTTACAAATAAATGTCATAAAAGAGATTTGCCTTAATTTTTTAAACAGTTTTTAGATTTATCATAAAATTAAAATATTATAACATTAATAATTATATTATAAAGACCACGATATATTTAATGAGATTCTATTTCCTCACTAGGTTTAAACGTTAATGTAGTATAAAAATACTATGAAAACCTTTTAAATTATTTTTTTCTGAAAAAGCTTATCAGGACCAATGAATGTTATAAACTTTTAACATATATTAAAATATGTATCAATATAATATATAATATCAATAAATCATTAGCGAAGTTTTAAATATACAGAGATAATTTAAGTAATTATTATTATGCTAGTAATAAAGTGGTCCTCAAAGATCAAATAAAAGTAACTTAAACATATTTTTTGGATAATCGTTTATCATTACAATTTTTCACCGTCTAAATGCTGCACATTGTAATAAGAATGGTCTGGGAACCTTTCTAGTTCGATATAGTCTGTTTCAGTACATAGTAGACGTTCCAGCATGGCGACAACTTCTTTGAAGTCGGGCCTGTCAGTAGGTTTAGCTTCCCAGCAGTAATACATTATATTGTACAGCTCCCGACGACAATGTTCTGGTTTTTCCAGACGATATCCACTGTGAACCTTGAACAACAAAAAGTAGAGATTTAGTAAATATATTCATATAACGTATTCAAATATTCTATAAAACATGATACAAATGTAAAGAATCCGATATTTTTGCTTGTTAAGACGCCTAGGCAAAATCTTCAAAGCAGATAGGAATAGGAAGAGAGTAAGAATCACGTATCGCAAGATATTAAAAAGCATTTTTAAAGTTCCATTTGCCGGAGTTATTCAAATGTATTTAAACCTCGACTCGTCTACGGCAACCCTTTCTTGTCGCTTGACAGAGGATATGTGGGACTTTATTATTATTCTTGACTGTTTGTCCACATGGACTCGCCTGTAGACTTTTGTGGGAAGGACGTGGTATCCAGCAGGGACTGCTTCACATCCAGCCTACGATGTTTGGTAGCCAAAGAGGAGGTCGTCGTCAGCTTAAAAGGAAAGGGCTCAGGTATATAAAAGCCTTCAGCTTTCAGGTATTCCTCAGACGGTGAACCGTCCACTAAGCTATCATAACTGGGGTATCAGCCCAGATCATGCGGTTCAGCAAGAGGAAGGGATGTGTTAATACGCGATCCCTTCCGCCTTCCATCCGTGTGAACGGAGAGCAATGCCTGAGTCCCCTACCTGGACTTCCCGGGGGCTTGCCTCCTATAGCTCCCCTCACAGCACTCACTTGGACCAAACATTCAAGGTCTAGTTTAAAATTTTTGATGCTTAGACATTTAAAGCTGTCCCTGAGGAGAGTTTTCCATGACCCCATCAATCGCTAGGCGGCGGAGTACGCATAATAACAATAACATTTTCGCTCATATTAAAAAATGTGTTTAAAGAAAATACAGACACAAATGACAAGGAACGATGGGAAAGAAATATTTGATATATGCTCTAATATTTCCCATTTTTGTTCTATAGCATTAAAATTAATAGTTTTACAGAAAAAAAAAGGAAAATATTAGAGCATAATTTTTGAGTAGGCATTAACAACTCTAAAATTATGAGTACCCTTTTTTTAATTTATAGATGAATAATAAATTACATATCGATTGTATCAGTTTACACTACACAAAAATAAACAACCTCACTCATCAGTTGTGTGATTTGTACAGGATGTTCTACATATCGCTGTTTTAACAATTTTTTTATATAACGTATTATCAAATGTAGGGTTGTGATTAAGGGTCTAATTTGTTTTTACAAAAACAAATGTGCATTAATTGGCTGAATTATTCTTCAACAATCTTGTCAATGGTAGAAAGTATTGTAATCCCCCTACAGTTTCCGTAGTTGCTGTGGCAACCGTTTTTATAAATTGGTCTAATAATCTTATTTTGAGTTTCTCTGTATACTTACCTTTGTCTATAAACAATTTAATAAGCTTAGTGATCACTGAAAAATTTTTCTCACTAGTAGTTAAGTTTTATATCAGTAGTGATCACTGAAATAATCTTCTCACTAGTAAGTTTTATATCAGTGGGTTTTATATTATTCATTCCAGGTACCTTTTTATCATTTAAGCCTTTTATGATCTTTGACACATCTCTTGATGTTGCTTTAATCATGCGCATAGATAGGTTTTTGTGATAACCGTAAGTAGATTTATCCATCAAAGATGTTTTAAAGTTATATATATTACTTTGAACAGCAATATAAAATGTGTGTGTAAAAAGTTATTTGCAATGTCGACTGGGTTTACTAGATTATTCTTGAATGCTTTAAGTAATGCTTCATCAATTGACGCTTGAATTTTACCTGTCAGTTGGTTCAGTATCTGCCACAAACGTCTAGACGTCTGTGTGTGTGTGACGCCTAGGGTCTCTCCTATTGTTTAGTATTTGTTTTATAATGTATTCATTTTTAGTTTTTTTAATAAGAGCGTTAACGTAATTCCTGATTTATTGTCTTAGCCTTAAAATGTTATTCGTCGTACCAATCAAGAAATAATTTATCTTTATACTCGCAAATTTTGTTTATTTTGTTTAATATTTTTTTCTATAATAGTCATAATTTTTAGTGCGTTAATTAGAAGTACGATATTCTGCAAAAGATGATTTAATTGTTTGTCAGTAGTTATTTCACTCGGACGATATGCTGTACTCGCGTCCCTTTCCATGCTATTAGCACAGCACGATGGTCCGCCAGTACGGTGCACAGCACCGCCGTGTAAAGTCTCGCGAAAATAAAACTCTTAGTTACTTTTCCTTTATACATTTCAATTCTAGCATAGTCCGAGATCTTGCGCACCAGACCCCAGCCGCATAACATGTTTTTATATTTATTTTTAAAGGATTATCTTTTCTTAGTTCTATATTAATGTCTCCTAGTAAGTATAAGTCCTTGTGCGTTTTTAAACTCGAAATGGTATGTTCCAATTCCGTGACAAAAAAGTACTTAGTACTATTTTCGGGCGGTCGATAAACTGCAAACAATAAACATGAATAGCGTAGTGGTGTGGTGATTTTAAGTGTTAGGTCTTCGAAGAATTCCGTTGATTTCTTAATTTTAGAACAATGATGCTTTTTATGTAAAAATACGATTATACCACCGCCTTTCCGCTTAGTTCGTTACTGAGTGAACATATTATAACCAGCCATATGATATAGATAGCTCAGCTCAGTGTGAATATTTACTTCTGTTAGAATTATTACATCTACACATTTATTACATGAAGTGATACATTGGTATAGTACACTCAAGTTTTTAATAAGAGATCGTATATTTATGTGGAATCACAATAATTTTGTAAGAAATCATTAATATTGTAACAGTTAAAATTTTCAAATAGTTCATCAAACTGTAAGGACTCCATTTCTTATTTTTTATAGATGTTAGGTTCATATATATCATATTTTATTATCTATAAGTATAACACTCAACAATTTTTACTTTTTGTGACATAATATGTCTTCCATCGACCTTATAAAACTAGGTTTATCATTTTCAGTTTTTCTCACCATGATTAATCCTTTTTTGCACATTTTCTTTTCAATTTCAATTTTCTATTATATGGTGTAAGTATTTCGTTAATGTATATGGCTTGCTATGCACTTTCTTTTGGTGCATTCTTGATAACATCACAATTACGAACTCGCATCTTGCACACTCTAATCCAAGGCTTCTAGCCGTGATATTTTTATTGCACTTGACATTTTTTTAGGGGTATTGATATGTTACTGAGGCCGTTTAATATTCAGGTATATGTAAATATGTGTATGCATTTGGTAAAAAGCGGTTAATTTAATGTTAGAAACACTCCAATTTTATTTATTCGTATAGATAGCATAGCAGATGCCGGTAATTATTTTCATTTGAAATAAAACCGTCTGTTTGATTGCAATTATTGAATACAAAGGCGTATCAGGTTCAAAACACCCATGTTAACTTTGATTTGGGTAACGCTTCAAAAGTCGAAAGGAGAGGAGTCAAATCTTCATTCACAACAAAAACACTTTATTTTCAAGCGTTATTTCCGGGGTACGGTAGCTTTATCTCAAAACATGTTGTGCTTTGAAAATGTTTTCTTTGATAAAATTTGAGTACAAAGAATTTAATTGGGACCTCAAATATTATTAAGCGACTTTATAACGTTTATGTAACATCGAAATAAAAAATATATAATAATTCTCCTTTATAGAGTTATATATAAGGAAGAATTTTTGTATGAAAATGAAATTGGTTTTTATTCTTTGATTGATAAGTATGTAGGGATTACGTTTAGCACTTTGTTTTGACGTTTTTTATGTCACCAGAATAGTTTGTAAGATATATAGTTGGCGAATTGTCAGTACGTTTAAATCCTTATTAGAGTTGAGTACTATACAGCCTTTTTTTTTCTAAAGCATTACTTTGAATATTGTTCTTTGTGCACGTTCCAGATCTTTTTTTTATGGGATAGGCGGTAGACGAGCAGGCGGATCACCTGATGGTAAGTGATTACCGTCGCCCATGGACACCTGCAACACCAGAGGGGCTACAAGCGCGCTGCCGGCCTTTGAGGGACGAATATGATCATAGGGAGGGAAGGGTTGAGGGTTAGAGGGTAAGGAATAGGGAGGGGTTGGGCCTCCGGTACCCTCACTCACACGACGAAACACAACACAAGCGTTGCTTCACGTCGGTTTTCTGTGAGGCCGTGGTATCACTCCGGTCGAGCCGGCCCATTCATGCCGAAGCGTGGCTCTCCCACGGGCGAATCAATGACGGGAACGGGAGATCAATGAATTTTGTTTTTAAAATACCTCCCCAAATGGTTATATTTAAAGAGCCAAATTGATTTTCAAGATCTATTGCATTTGAAAGATTTGAGTCAATGATGATTCCTAGATATTTTATGCTGTCTACTTTTTCAATTTTAGGGCAGTTACAGTTGATATTATTATAGGAATTTTTACATATAAGTGTTAGATTTGAATCAACTTGAGTGGATATATTTATAGAAAAAGTAATATAATTTGTTTTGTTTGCATTTAGCGTAAGAATATTACGTTCATTATTTTGTTTCGTATCAGTGAAATCATTTATATAGATTATAAAAGTGTAGGTCCTAAAACACTACTTTGTTTTATATTTCAATCGGTTGAAAAGCCCTGATTTTCCACCGCTCAATCCGCTCGTTGATGTTAAGTATGTAAGTCAATAAAGTATTTATTTTTATATTTTTAAGGTTCCCAACCCAAAGGGTAAGACGGAAAACTTTTACTAAGACTTCTTTGTCAGTCTGTCTGTCTGATGTATTTCTGTTGCCCATTCAACAACAAATACTAATAAACAGAATAAAATAAATATTTAAGGGGGCTCCCGTACATGCATACATAACGTGATTTTTTGCTCATTTCCGATATGAGTCCGACTCGAGCTAGGCAAGTTTTTTTATAAATCTTTTACGGCTCTGCTGTGCTTAAAATGCTTTAGTAACTCGACTATGACATTTTACAAATAAGTAACGAAATTAAACCAGAGGAATATAAGCCTTCCAAAATAAAGTCACTAACCGATATCGATTCTAGATGTACTTCCGAACTACGAAATCTATTTTAAATAGTCGTTCACTCGATTGCTGACCTCCAAAAGTCAAATATCTTCCGAAATAGCTGACCGAGCATCTGCAGTCTAATACTTATTGTTAATGGTGAGTCTACGCTTTGGAGCCGACTTCGTATTAAAATTCTTAATAAAAAAAAAAACAAATCTGTGATCCATAAGACCACACAAATATTCTTCTTTATATATGATTCCTTTCTGATAACACCGAAAATTTTTCTAATGTACTAGCCGTATAATTGCATACAATATTGATTTGATTCTGGAGACCCGTAGTCAAATATAATAACCGCTTTTATAGGTCACCAGACAGACTAATTATATCAAAACACAGGCAAGCGCGACTCCAACGCTTAAAGTGGGCTCTTTTGGGATTTTAAGAACGTCCTTATCAGATATATTAAAAAAAAACATACTATTATGATTTCGTCGTACGAGCTTAAGCATATAAATTTAGTTGTTGTGACCAAATTTATAGATCTTTGATAGATTTTATTTTTTTTTTCTAATAAAAATCATACAACGGATTTGTAAGTGATCTTACAACCAAAGCTAAAAATTTGTTGTTTAATGTATTAAAAGTGCAAACTTTCACAATTCATTATAATTTGCTTCAATAGGGATGATAACTGGGTAAAAAAAAATACGGAATTATATTTAGTCCGTCAGTCAGATAATAGACAAATATCAGATACGTATATTTTTTACTTCAATTTAAAGTTGAGGAGTTAGGGCTCGCTACATCACAGTTTTGTAAAAAATGTACCAAGCAATGACGTCTGCAATAAGTCAAATTTTAACTCAATGTATCGCCGTAACGTTTACTTCACTTCAATATTATTTAGGTATGTTCATTTTGTTAAGAAGAGGCATGAATCAGGAACATTATCCCTGTCTATCTTATTGTATAGAGGATATCTGTGAAAATTTTGTAAATTGATATTTGGCTACGACAGAAACCTTACAAATGACATGAAGTAATCTCAATTTTAATTACAGATTATTTTGATATTGTGTTGTGACCTTTTAACAAATTAGTAATATAAATACTCCATACCTTTCTCATAACATCGCCAGCTGACATGCCAGGGTACGGAGTGGAGCCGAGAGTGACGATCTCCCATAGAAGCACACCGAAACTCCAAATGTCGGACTTTACACTGAATATATCATCGTAAAGGGACTCTGGCGCCATCCATCTGTGTAAAATAGAACATAAATCATTAAGATTAAATCAATTTTTTTTTCTCTAAACTGTTATCTTCATTTTTGTTTTTGTTAAGAACCGTATAAAGCTGGAATTACATTAAATCAGTGTCGTATGGCGTCACTTGGTTTCTAAATATAACCTCACACTAAATGTAATAGTAGAAAAATGGTGAAAGCCCATGTAACAAGTTCGGAGTTACTTATTGAATGTCTACAGACTACCTCTACATTAGATCATAGTACATTTAAAAAAAAAATCGAGTCCAGTTTCGTTTGGATTGTCAATCAAAAAGAGAAATCTATATTATTTCTCTTTAAATTCTTTAATAATCTAATAAGAAAGTGTATGTAAATTATTTCTTTTTAAAAATTTATACGTTATAATAAATTTAATTTGTATGAAACAGTTGTTTCTAAACTTGGAAAATTTATATTACTTGATTACTAGATTCTCGCCTCACAAACGAATGCAAATTGTGTTTTGAATTTACTGGGTGTCTTTTGAGGCCTAAACAAGACTGTGGATCTATATTAATATATTTTACATGTATGTACATAGAGCAGCACATAGATATCCGATAAAAATGTCAAATTACCGCAATTTTGGTTTCTTGAATTTGTTACTTGAATTAAGGTTAAAAAACATGCTGAGTAGAATACGTTTCTTTAACACAGAAGTTCTGTTATATGTAGAGATACCTACAGGTAAATATCGTATATGCTACAGCCGTTTGATAAATAATGACATGATATTTAAAAAACAGGACGTAAAAACAAATCATGTTCTGAATTTCACGAGATAAAATTTTCTTCTATGTTTGTATTAATAAAGAAGAAGCCATATGTACTTAATATAAGGAACGATTATCGACCGTTTGAAAATGCGAACGTTTATTAACATGACGTTTGTTACTCTCTAACGCTGTAACTAAGCAGATTTAATATGTAGACTTAGATAAACATGTAGGCTTCTTTTTATCCCACTTAAACAGTTATCTAGGGCCCACGCAAATGATTTCAATATTACATATATATTTATGTGCAAAGAAATATGATCTCTACCAGTTCCAGTCCTTACTATTTTCGCTTCCTCAACCGTTCATCGATCGTCGCACAGATATAGGTCGGTTATTGGTGCTCTTTACGTGACCTTTATTTAGGAAGTCATCAATCTAGTCAGGTAATTTTCTTCAAAGTCGACCTTTACCGACGTTTCCCGGCACATTTTATTACAGTGCGGTATCATCAAAAACTGCAATAAATAATATATAAATCTAGTGAATATTGACACCACTTGCGCTGTGCACTTTATTTCTGTTCCTAGATTCTGTAAAATCCTTTTTCCGACATTTTATGATACGAAGACTAGTTGAGAACCAGGTTTAAACCATGATTTAACCAAAATAAGAGAATACGTGACGATTTCACGTTTTCTTTTTTGTCACTGTCAATTAGCTTTAGGTAGCTAGTACCAACTGTCAACTGTCATTTTATAATAAGGCAATCCATTATTTTCAAAGTTATTTATGATGTACTTATCTTTTTGCGTCCCTAATTTTTGATCACCCTCCGAGAATCTTATCATACGATGAAGAAGCAATTTATGGATTCATATTAAATTTAATGCCTAGGAAAGTGTCGTTTATCCTAAGCTTGGAGAACTTATTCAATTAATTACTAAGCCGTCGTCTCACAGACGAATGAAATTATGTTTAGAAGCGCGACATTAAGGTTTAGAAGTTCTAAACTGTACATTACCATACTGTACTGATGATATAAATGCTAATAATTCTTTATGTTTTCATTAAATAGCTCTCAAACATTTAATGATTTATATTTTAGCAAGGAAGATGTTTATATTCTTGTTTTGTGATTTGATTTACCCTATTAATATTATTACGATTATTCAAACTGGACTCTACATATAGAGTATTGAGAGAAGAGGAGTACCGTGATCTTCTCTCTCTAAGCAAAAAAAGTTTAGGCTTACCTGGCAACCGTAGGTTTATATACACTATATAAAATATTTTTTTTAAATTAAAAGTGATAAAAATTAAAAGTGAACTCTAACCTTATAGGTAATCTGCCGTCACTCTTCCTCTCGTAAACGTGTGTACCACCGACATCTCTAGCGAGTCCAAAATCAGCTACTTTACACGTTCTTTCTTCAGTAATCAAAACGTTACGAGCTGCCAAATCTCTGTGTATTATCTGTAATAAAACATCGATGAAACTATTATTATTACTTTAGTGTCTTTATATGTCTATATATACACACGTTTATAGTGTTTGACTTGGTTTGTAATCGTTTGTATCCGTTCTGCCATTTCAAAGTTTTTCAATGCAATTATGTGTTTTTGAACAAATGAACGTATTATATTTCTCCTTATCTTCTGATCGATGTGGATTTTCATCACGAATCAAAGGAAATTTCGCAAAAGCACTAACAATGCGGTCATACGTAAAAAAATTTGTACCTAGCATTATTATTATAAATTAGTTTGTTTGTCCTTCTCACACATCACAACGGGGCGTAATTATTTTAAGGTATATTATTTTATGTAGAATTTAAAGTGGGAGTACTTAAAATATAAATGGGAGTTGTGATAGGCTACATTTTTTATTCATAAAGTTATTTGCTTTTCGCCACGCCAGTGAAGACGCAAGTAACAATTAGGAAATAAAGAAATCCTTAAAAAAGTAGTATTCAAGGTCTGGAGTTATTAAGAAAGGTCTTGTTCGGTACAATATAATCACACTTTTATCCTATTAGGGTTAAGGTTAAGTAACACAAGGTGTCAAATGAAGGTACGTTTATAAAGTGTTTGGGTTACGAGTAGTCACGATACGACTCTTCAGGCAAATAAAAATAAATAGCGGAAAAGACATTACGATATATAATGTAGATATGCAATCATCCTTCTTTTTTTTAGAATTGGCTAAACTGGCTATTTCAGTTCTTTGGATATTTTTTTTATCCAATACTTTGCAATTTTAAGTAAAATAATACTAGTTTTATGAAATAAGTAAGCACGAATTGGTTACCTTTTGACTTACTATTTATAGAACTATATATGTTAAGTAATAATTGCATATTGTCAGATGACATGAAAAGTCACGTGGCCTTTTCTGTCGCTGAGATATGTGTTGTGCATACCCGCTCACCCTAGCGCGGGGTTGAAAGACACGTGGCCTAATAAGGTACTGTCACCGCATAACGCTCGCTGTCTTCAAACGCTGGAGTGCCAAAAAACTAACTAGCATATATTTTAATAACAATCCCTCGCTGTCAGATCTTTAAGGGCGGTATAATTAAATTTGAAGCTATATCAGATGATTCTTAGCGCTTTAGCGGTCAACAGTAGGCTTTATTGGGCGACTATACCTTAGTATTAAATATATATGGCAAAATTATTCACTGTACCATGTAAGTCACAGAACAATATTAAACGTTTAATGTCCCCACTGCAGGGGCTCAGGCCTTCCTTATGTTAATGGTTCCTTAACCATCCATAAGTAACGGATGCCAATAAATATAACACAACATTAATTAGATCCAAAACTTAGTAGCTAAAATCTTTTATTATGGAAATCTAAAATAATATTTTACGAGTGTTTTTTTGAATTCTCGCACATGCATATGTATTTATTAAACACACGCGCCACGCATCGTAAGTGCCCAGTAACAAGTTTGCAATTTCATTATGCTTTTCTAATGAAGGATGATGTATTTTTGTTAAATAAATGAATCTTTTTATATATACTTACCCCTTTAGAACTGAGAAATTCCATTCCCCTCGCAATCTGGAAGGCGAAGTGCGTAAGGTCCCTGGAAGTAAGGAACTGGCTACCATGTGTGTTTCCGTAGTGGCGTTCTGCTCTCGAGTCGCGGAGGAATTGTTGCAGTTTGCCAACGCTCACGAACTCCATAATCACCAAAGTTGGCTCCTTTGAAAACAATACAAATAATAACAATGATAATTGGGTAAACAAGATCTATTTATTCCGACATATAATATATAAAAAACAAAAATGTTAGATAATTAGTTCTTTTTTTGAAGTTTACAAAAAAATACTTAGATAGTAGACATTAAAGTTGAAGAATGTGGTGTTCACTACGTTACAATTATATAGAAAATCTACCTTCATATTAAAGCATAATTTAGATATCACCTTAATTTATTGAAAGCAAGAAGTGCTTTTTTGTTATCTTTCTTCTTCATCTCTTTAAATCTGTTAATCATGACCCCTATTATAATAAATGTCAAAGTGAAAAGTCAAGTCAAAATGTTTTTAATCAGATAAGTTTATTCGTCTTTTGGCTGATAAATAAATTATATAAAATTCTTACACGAAAATTACATAAGCCATACCATTATCAAATCAATATCAATGTTGACAATATACATACATCACATATATTCCTCTGATCCCATATTAATTAGCTGAAGCACTTGTATTATGGAAATTTGCAACGACAATATCTATGCTAATATTATAAACAGATAATATGTGATTGTCTGTTTGCATTAAATAGGCTCCGAGACTGAAGGTCGATTTAAAAAGTTATTTCACCTACGGAAAGCTGCATTATATATGTGATCTATATATAGGCTAAAATTTACGTAGGAACATAGTTCGTGGGTAATAAAAAGGGAGCTGAGAGACAGTCACATCTTGAGACCGGGAATAAAGTCAATCGCCTATGGTAGTCTTTGGAGTTGAATTAAAGAAGAGAAAAATTAACTTTCTTAATGTGTTTTTTATTGTTCGCTGTTGAAATCCATCAACCATTTTGTATATAAATCATCTATGTAGTTCAGGATGACTTGTAAGACTGATTCTCCAAATCCAATGCGTAAGTGATACCTAATATAGATACCGATACAATGCTTCTAGGAATTCGCATATAAATATTTAACCCTTATTTTATAACTTTGTATAAACTTTCATGAAAACATAACAAAATCTTTAGGAGAGGTTACTTAAAAAGAGAGAGAGAATAGCTAAACAGCCGTAGTTTATTATTATTTGACAGTTCTCAGAACAGGTTATTCAATTTTAGACTTGAGAATTGAAACTTGTGTTGATTTACACAAAACTTGAAACAATTCTCCATTCTAATAAATTCAACTTAAACGACCCGAGGGAAATATCTTAAACTCAACTCGATCTTCATTAGTTAAGAATATTATGTACAATAAACAATTTATGTTATCGGCCATTGTCATAAGTAACTATTTAGGTATTTAAAATATCTTTGAGAAAAAACTTTGCATATTTATTTATTTATTTATGACACGCCAACAGCATACACACTCAACATTTACTTAAAATGAATCATTCAGTAACGTACCTCATGTGTACACCTATAACAGACATGTACAACATTCACATTTATATATTACTATTATCAGCTAAAGTTACCCATTTCATTAGAAACTAATAACAATTATCAAGTGTTACTAAGTCCAAGTATTAATTTGAAGAACAACATAAAAAGTAATATTCATCAAAACGCACAAGCGAAAATTCGGAGAGACAATCTATACAGCGAATGATTCCAGTACTCTAAGCCTAAAACAGGGCAATGAATCGTAGAATATATCGAGATCGCTCGCGACATCAGTGATCATGTCATTGTACTCGCTGCACATTCTGACCACCGGAGAAGCGCGTCCCAGATTGGTTCGACAAGGCGGAATATAAAATATCTTTGTATTTGGATATCTCGGGATACTGCGTGGAACCCTTAAAGCAATACAAGATAAAATTTCGTCACATTTGAGGTGATTATTCACTAATTTATAAAGAAAAATTAAATCATGGAGTTTACGACGGTCCCTTAGTGAATTCATTTTGTAAAAATTCAAGCGCTGCTCGTAACCACATCGATGATTAATACCCTGAGAATGAAAAGCCAAGTATCTGGTATACGAACGTTGTATACTCTCCACTCGTTGAGAGTGTACAGCATAGAACGGACTCCATACTACACACGCATATTCAAATAGGCTCCGAACGAATGCATTGTACAAAATAATTTTAGTAGATGTACGCTTGAATTTCTTTGTATTACGCTTCAAAAAGCCAAGCATACATGCAGCTTTATTAACTATTGCATCGATATGTGACTCGAAGCGTAGCTCGCCATCCATAATTACGCCCAGATCCCTCATTGCTCCGACCCTTTGCACAAGAATTCCACAAATATCATAGGAAGATTCCACCGACTTTTTTTCCCTCGAAAACCTCATATGGTAGCACTTCTCGACATTCAGCTCCATTTGGTTACGAATACACCATTGTTTTACTCTACATACGTCATCCTGTAACAGTTTGGTATCATCAGGAGAGTGTATAACCCTATAAAGTTTCAGGTCATCAGCAAACAATTGGAAATTACAATTTTTTATTTCATATGTTATATCATTTATAAATATTGAAAATAAAATAGGGCCAAGATGGGAGCCCTGTGGGACGCCGGATGTAGCGCAATAAGGCGCAGACTCGTAGCCATGGACAGACATGAACTGGAGTCTCTTTGCCAGATAAGATCTAAACCAGTGGAGCAGAGATCCCATGATACCAAGTCCCTCCAACCTATTTAAAAGTATGTGATGGCTGACTTTGTCAAAAGCACGAGCGAAGTCTGTATAAATAGTATCAACTTCATGACCCCTATCGAGTTGTCTTGTTAAGTACGAAACGAAGCCGACAAGATTGATTACAGTGGAACATCCAGAGCGGAAACCGTGCTGATTAGAAGTTATGACACAGTTGACATGCTTAGTCAAAACAGGTACTATCAATGACTCAAACAACTTTGAGAAGCAGGAAAGGATAGCTATAGTACGGTAGTTTACTGTATTGTTTAGTTCGCCCTTTTTATGCAGAGGAATAATCTTAGTTTTTTTCCATTCATTTGGAAAGCAACCATCCCTTAAGGAACGGTTAAAAATAAGGCACAAAGGAAGCGCCAAAACCGATCCGCATCGCTTGACGAAGACAGGAGGGACAAGGTCAGGTCCAGCACTCTTGAGGATGTTAATAGTATGGATTCTTTTCAATGCTTCACGTTCAGTGAAGTGAATTAATTAATGTTTAAAAATGTTATTAAAGGCGATTACAAAGAAGATTTAAGCTATACTTTTTTTATTGTTAATTTAGAAAACAGGTAATCACCTAAAAAGTTTCGCTTTGTTAATTTCTACTAACAGTCCGTTTGTCAGCTTATCTTGTATATTAGGTTATGGTTGAAATTAATTTAATTTTGATGGCTCAATTAAGAAAATATCGTTTCATAGATATCGCGCTACAACCTTACGGCTAATTTAGGCGTAGGAACTAAGTTGGTACGCAGGAAATTAAATTATTAACTTAATTTATAGTGACTTAATTTGATAATCGCTGGTTTACACGTATTAAGTTGATAACTAGTCTATTGATTTTTAAGTAATAAAATACTTGCAAACACATAAAATCACTTAATTAACTATTTAGATCACTACTTATCTAGTTAATACGTGTAAACCAGCCATAGAGATAATGTTTGTTTAATCGTATTTAATCATATAAAATTAAGCTAACTTCTTTATGTATGGCGTATCCATAGCGCAATATCTCAGCTCATTGTATTCAAGAATTCATTACTTTGAAAATTGCTTATTGTTATTTCGCCGAGTCCACCATTTTTAGAATATTCTATCCTACGCATCAAACCTTTTCATTTGATACCTATATGGGTTACTATGGAAACATATTATCCGGTGTTAAATTTATTAAATTCGTACAATGTGCTGTTGACATCAGGTTACTACAGAAACTTAATGTCCTATTATGTATACATATCTAGAAAATCACACGTGCGTGTAAAATTTTAGCTCAATTAGTTAAAGCTTAGACCTGATCCAGAACTATGTGAGAATTTTTCGTGTATGTTATATTGAGCATTGTAATGTGAAAGTTTTATAAACCTGTTGTTCCGTATTATTCATTAGTTGTAATATTACAAATTAGCACAAAGCATTCGTCTTAATTTATTATCATTTTGTTTCTATAATGCAATGCTTAGGCTCACAAGTCCTAAACAAAACGCACCACCAAGCAAAACGAAACGTATGTCTTTGCGTTGTAAGTGCTGCCACCTATATACCACCAGAGAGAAGTTCTCCGATCGCCGCTCGCACAGCTGGCATATTATAAAAATTCAATAATAATCCGTTACCTAAAACCTAGCTAACGCGACAAGTGTTTGTTGATGAAAGCTTCCAGCGACCTAATTATCGAAGCAGCTACTTACTGGGGCCCCATATCAAGATACAAGAGAAACGGTGTACTTGGTAAGTGAGCTGATCGCATTGCTTAACAACTTTCTTACACATATTGTTTGTTCCTTCTTTACCGGATTCATCCGTTGTTGTGATTTGTGCTAGTTTTATTTATCATAAAAAGCATAATTTGTCACTTTTGTACAAATTTATTTGTTCATAAAACGCGGTACCTACCGCCATCCGACCAACTTGCATTCAAGTTTTTACGCATTTAACGTATTTCTTTTTCGACAATACTAGTGTGTGAGTGCATTTCAGGTTCAATAATTACGATATTAATCGAATTTTATACATTTTACATCGTTTTGCGTGTAATCAATTCATATTTTTTTTTCGTAATATACTTGCCATTACCGTGCGCCGAACCAAGCTGTCGCGTCGCGAGCCGACTCGATCGGAGCCATAACATAAGGCTAGTTACACTCGACATACATTAACTTTAACTATTTTTTATGAAAAATGGTAATTGTTTTTTATTACGTACATAACAATTATTACTTAGTATTTTCGTGCTAGGGACATATTTTCACACTTTAGCAATTCTTGTATTTCAGTACAGAATTCAATTTAGCGGTTCTTGTATTACGTACAGTGCCCATTTTAGCGTTTTAGCAT